ACAACCCTTTTTCCCAGCTAGGTACATCTAGACACTAAGACCCTGAAATACTTCCAGCACCTTTCTATCCATACTTCTGCTCTTGTTGTTTCTCTGCCTCTTCCTGCCCACTTCTTAATGATTTTCACCATTATATCATATGCTCCAGAGAATACCTATTTTGCCACTGTATTCCAGGCATCTAGCACAAGAGCACAATAATTAGCAAACGATTGAGATCCTTCATATCTGCTGTTTGAACACCTCAGAAAATCAGAACTAAAAGGATCCTTAGTTCAACCCCCTTATTTAACAGGAAAAAACCAAGACCCCAAAAGCAAAATCACGAGAAGAGATAGTTAACAAGGAATAAGGACTAGATCCAGGTCTCTTTACTTCCAGGTCAGTGCTATTTCCAACCCACCACACTTGTCTTCACACTTCAGAATGTTATGTTTCTTCTTATGGATATCTAAGTACCATAAGTTCCTTAATGGCAGCAGAGTCCACCGCCTTTTCATGTTTCTCTATCTTTAGCCCTCTTGTTCTCATTCTGACACACTCACACTGATGATTTCATCTACTTCAAGGGAGAAAAAAATGGAGCAAGCAGGGAAACCTCAGATTAAAAGGGAATTAAGAAACAACATACAATTGCAATGTATGAACTTTATTTTGACACTAACTCAACTATAACAAACACAGTAGGTGAATCTGAACACTAACCCGACGTTTAATGATATTAATGAGAACTGTTAATTTTTTAAGGCAGGGAAAGAGGACATTATTTTTTTCATGACTCTTTGTCTTTTTGGCTTTTCAAGCTGAGTATTTACAAATAAAATTGTGTAATGCCTGCATTCACTTCAAAAAGGCCCCAGGGAAATGGGAAAGTGGGAGCGACACCAAAACAGCAAGATTAGCTATAAATTGGCAACTGTTTAAGTTGCGCGACGGGTACATGGGAGAGGGTGTCTTTATAGTCTCTTTTACTTTATGTTCAAAAAAGTAAAAAAGAAGTTAGGATATGAGCCATTAACCACCTCGCCAAGTTGGCCGCCTCTGGGAGGTGCCTCCGTCCGCTCCAAGCCCATCCAGGAAGCGGGTGGAGGGGCCACGGTCTCTTTCCCCGACCAGGGCGGGGGACCCACCCCCTTCCTGATGTTTCCCGGGGCACACAGGGTCAGGCCAGCACACTGACCTAGCTCAAACCACGGGCCAGACAGGAGCAACAGCAGCATCAGCAGCGGCGGCGAGGGGCCCATGCCGGGAACACGAGCAGCACACACACCGTGGGCCCTGCTGCGCATGCGCCCCGCGTGCACCACGTCGGCCGCCGTACCGCGTGCGCACTGCCTGAGGTTTTTTTTTTTTTTTGGCCGATGGGTTTGGTTGGTCCCAGGCTACAGCTGGATCCAGAATTTAAGGTGCGTGGAGCCAGATAGGTGCAATTTTCGCAGGGTTAGCGTTGAGGGACCAGGCCATTCCAGAAGCCCCTTTGTTTCCCCATGAACAGAACATTTTGACTGATTTTCTTCCCTTTTATATTCAAACCCCTCTTGGGCGCTGGAATACCATTTCAAGATCAAAGAAAAGGTTTCAGCTTAACATTTATTGCACACTTATTGTACGCAACGCCCAAGTCCTCAAAAATACAAAGCTTTGCAACACACAACTTCACGGTCAAGGACTGCAGAGATACACGGACTATAAAAATTTTACGCAAATAGGTGGCAGAAAGAGGGCACTGGAGGGTCTGGGATGGGTACTTCGGCATAAGCAAAGGTGCAGGAGTGTGAAAACATGGTCCACTGAAAATATCCTATCCCTTAGCCCCCATGCTTGAAAGGTCTTTCTACCTCTGCTTCCTCTATTTCTATTTTCCCCACTTCATACTTTGAGCTTATTCAACTCCCTTGCCTCTACTTCACCCATCTTTCTGTTCACTACAACTTTTCTGGGGAAGATTTTTTTTTTTTTTTAAGATTTTTATTTATTTGACAGAGAGACACAGTGAAAGAGGGAACACAAGCAGGGGGAGTGGGAGAGGGAGAAGCAGGCAGGCTTCCTGCCGAGCAGGGAGCCCGATGCGGGGCTCGATCCCAGGATCCTGGCATCATGACCCGAACCGAAGGCAGATGCTTATCGACTGAGCCACCCAGGCACCCCTCTGGGGAGCATTTTAGCACAGCTACTTTGCAAACATTAGAAGTCCCAATGATCCAATAGTTTTACTCATAGGAATTTATACTAAAACAGGGATGTTTCAAAATTTTAAGTTAAAGTATTTATATTATAAAAACTTACAAGTGTAACAGTATAGGAACCTATTGGATAAATTAAAATACATCCATTAGAAGAAATTATTATTAAACCATTATAATTTGTTTTTCAAGGAACATTTAATAACAAGGTGGATAACATATCCTTATCTCAAACAGTACTTTTATATCACTGAAGCTAAAGCAAAACATCCTTTTCATTGGGTAAAAACGGCCTGCTTAATGTGTGTACATTGCAGTGCAATTTAAAAAAACACTAATTTCAGAACTTCAGAATTTTAGGTGTCAGTGTTCTCTTTTTTTCATATGGGAAAAGAAAATGCTTTTGAAAATTATTTGAGGCTTGGACAAAAATTCCATCGCTATATTCTTAGGATCACTCGTGGAGTCTTCATGATTCAGATGACATGAGGGAAGCTTCAAATTCAACCTTTTAGAGAAGACATTCCAGCTCGCATGATCTCATCAACCAGGAGTATGTTGGTGGCAATCACAGTGCTGAAAGGAGTGGAAAATCAGATGGCTCAGATCTGAGATATGAACCCTAATTCAACTCAATTTCCAAACAAACTGCAAATTATATCCAATTAAGTTTCTCCTTTCCCCTCCAAAACATGGAAGGCTAGTTTTATTTCTATATTTTCAGTTGATTACAACTTTTGCAAAACCAAAAAACCAAACCCAAACCCAAGTAATTAAACAGAACACACCAAATTAAGAGTATGATGATTCCCTAAAGGTTATTTTAGTTTTGGCTTTCTCAAACTTACCAGGAGTGGAGAAGCTGTTTCTTTACACAATAGTTATCCCATATGCCTACTTCGGCTGCTACCATTGGCTCACCTGCGAAGTAACCCAGTATTCTTAAAATCACACAGAGCAGGTTATAAGATCAAAATGCTAAGACAACAGAGTATTTTGTGATTTGCTCATCACTGATTATTCTCATTATCCAAAGTTCCTCAATTAGTCCAATTTTGCTCCAAACCATGACTCCTGTATACAGTATCTTTGATTAAGTGGCTGATCTCTACTCAGAAGACTTTTGGTAATAGTAATACTTTATTTGGTTACCAAATGTTTGAACATCTCTATTTTTCAGGACACATTCTCATTTGTCCATATTAAAGTAAAGCACTTGAATTATAATCTGGCCAAAATGGGCTTATCATTTCCCTCATACCAGAAACCTTTTCTATTAACTTGAATGTAAATGATGTTATTGACAACAACAGGTCTTACACATACTGCATGGGTGTCTCTCTCAGTTCTCTTTCTTCCACTTTGTACTTGTCTATTTTGTGTTACTGCATTTAAGATGAGGGCTTTAAATCATTTCACTAAGACCGGGGCCCATCTTCCAGCATTATTTGCTATCCTCAGGCTTTTTTCACCCATGAATACGATCACCTCATGTATTTTCTTATTAAAGTCCCTAATAAAAGACTGAGTAAAGCCAGCCCATGAAATCCTTCCATGTTAACCTGAACCACCTACTACTACTCAGCAACATCAAAAATCCATACTCCTTGAAATTATACAAATGTCTACTCTATATTCCATTAATTACTGTATCTAGCCATTCCATTTTTATATCATTTTTTAGAACTCAGGGTTCCCTAATAACACTGGTGTCAAACTGCAAAGCATCTCTCCAAGATTCGTTTGTCTCCATTTTTTATTCTTCCTGGCTTCATCTCACCTGAATCTAGTTCTCCCCCTACTAATAGGTGCATTCTCTTACCTGTGTTTAAGTCCACACCCACAAGTTGACCTGATTCTGAATGTTCCGCTTGAACTTTAACTAGTGTTTCCTGAAGGTCAAAACCAGAGTTCTGAGCAAGTACCT